AACATCCTGAGGGAAAAAAAAACACTTAAATGATGTCACTAGTAAATTAAACTAAAAAAACAGGCAGTTCATGTCAAAGTTCTGAGGCACTCCTGAAGGACGAGATTCTTATTCGGTCTCAGACCTGGAAAGTTACTCTGGAAAAGTCATTTGAATAAGCCTATGGATGAAAATTCAAATTATTCTTTTCTAGCCCTTGGCAGAGCCAGGAAGAACAGAGGCAAAACTGAAAACACAAAGCAGAAGATTTAACTGAGTCACAAAAATTTAGTATGAAGGGTAACTTGGAATTTCGAACCACAGCCTGGCTGATTTATACTTTCAGTAAAAAAATGGAAAATTCCTCACACACATTACACTCTTCTATACTGAGCACTCAGCAATTTTAAATGGATCTAACTATTCACACCAGCTAAATGTCAAGGAGATGTCCCCAACACATTGGCTGGGCTGAGACTTGGATGGAAACATGCTTGTCCCTCAGTTGTTTGACTAAATGTTCAATTTAACTACGGCCAAGACATAAACAGGCATTTCAGCCATGGCCAGTGAATGGAGCAAAGGAGGAAAAAGATATCCAAGTAATAGCTAGAGCACACAAAACCATCATCAGTAAATTTAGGCACAATGTACAATTGACTGACTTTTCCAGATAAAGGGACATGCAAGACATAAATGGTTTAGACCTATCTCCCTCCCCTGCAGATATCACAGCAGCTCTGGTTAATCGAGGTGCTCAAGATAACAGTCCCTTAGTATAAACAGGATAGGATCCCTGGAGAGCATTCTCTGGGAGGTGGATGTTACCTTTGTGACTCACTTGTTAAGAATCAACAAGTATCAGGCCAAGATGAAAAGGTTCATAAGGAAGAGGCAAATTGAGGATCTCAAGACAGGCATTTATGGTAGGGGAGAGAGGTCTACTGAAAAGGTAATTTAATGCATCAGACCAGTTGTTTTGTGAAGCAACCTTGGAGTGGCAAAGTTCTGTCCGTCTGTTTATCCTTTGTATTTGTACAGGCACCTAGGACTCAAACAAACATTTTAACAACTTTAGCTAGATTAAGAAAAAAGAGAAAGAAAGCAAGTCTTTGAAGATACCATTTAAGGTACTTTTTAAAATGTGGTTAAGCACATCTACTTAGACAAGATTAAATTGTCCACAGAATTTACATTACTCCAAGTCTGCTCTTTCATTTGCTGTTTCTGACTAAGATTTATGTGGGATGGGCTGTGGTACAACCCAGGCCTGTAAGCATATGGGGCAGAAATGCTTTGGTGCCAGTTGTTACTGGAAGCATGTATCACTGTGCTGTCCCAATGTTTTTGGAATACAAATCATCTACACTTCAAGGTTTGCTTGACTGGGATAGAGATTTAGGCCTTCATCCTTTCTCCTTTCACTGTATTTACTTCTGCAGCTCAAGTATTTGTAGAAGAATATTCCAATTTAATAAATGATATATTAAATCCAGAGATATTTTATTTATGAAAAAAACAAGAATATCCCATTTATACTGAGAAATGGCAACTATTTTAATATGAAAACCAGCAAACTGTGCCATCTTCTCCATCCCAGAATATATAAACATTAGTTTTGAATACTTGATAATTTTAGATGCATTGTCTAATTAAACACACTCAAACTCTGCATTCCTTTGAAATGTGATTCACCACCTTTCAGAAGTGGAAAACACAGCTTGCCACAAAGGTACTTTTTTACTTTATGTATATGCCCCCTACAGTTATTCAAGTTAGAGCTACCTTGTATCTGAGCTTCTTCCCCCTCTCTCCCCCTGCTGTTGTTGATTCTACTTTTAACTCAAGAACCACCAAAAAAAAAATCCAGTCAACTGAAGGTACACTGCAAAATCGTCACTGTCATTTCAGGATATAAAGTCCTGGTGCAAAAGTCTGAGTGTCTTCTCCCTCAGGAAAATATGAAAATCCTTGACATTTACCACAATCTAGTGCATTCCAAAGGTGAATAAGACATTGTGTTGGGTTTTGTTTGTTTGTTTTATAAGTGAATGGACTAGTCACCTTTGTTTGTTTGTTTTTATAAGTGAATGGACTAGTTACATTAAGTAAAACCCAGAGTAAGAATTAGCCTTGTAGTAGAAGGGCATACTAGCCCAATTTTCCCATACCCTATGAAACAATTTTAGAAATAAACAAATTTAGGGGGTTCTTACAAGCACTTATTCAACTCTCTGTACAATTCTCACTGCTTCCCTATTCTTTGTTTATTATCCTGGAGTGTGTGCATGTGATTCTGGCTAGTACAATCTCTACCAAGTTCTCTCCACAAAAGCCATTCAGGGAGAGAGTAAAAAGGGGTGAATTTTGTCTACAGAACACCTGGTTTTTATGCCATCTGAACTCAAGGGAAAAGTACATTTTTGAAAACCTGCAAAACTACTTGTTGTCAAGCATGTATTTTTCAGCAAGTCAAACATTCTTCATATTACAGAGCAGCATAAATGCTCCAGGCCAATGCAAGTTCCAAATATGGCTCTTTTAACACATTTTAATGTTTCCAGCCTAGCATAAGTAAAGCATAGAAAAGAATACCTTAAAAAAAGAAATGAATGCAATATATGTGCCTCGTTTTGCATGTAAAGTTAAGTAGTATACTGTGAAACGTCAGACTGAATTTTAGGTACTGCAGATTTATAATAAGCCTTTTTTATTTTAGGTATTCAATACTAAAGTATCAACATCTTAAAAACCCATTATAATTAATGGGTTTTTAAAAATTAAAATATGTAATTTTAAATTACATATCTCAAAAATCAGAGATGGCCCAGGACACAGATCTGTCTGAGCCATGAACCCCCTCAGGATAGCATGGTTAAGGCACATCAGTTTAACCATAACCAACAGTGCACAGTGGGATGATGCAGCTAGTATCATACCCACCTAATTTTAACTTCCCGGCCAGAATGACAAGGTGCCCAATTTAAATTTGGGGTCAACTTGGGGTAACCTCCAGTGCAAGTGCAGAATAGAGCTTTAAACTTACACTTTTGGACTGATAATAAGATGCCGTTACCTACTGTGTGACAGCACCTCCCCACCCATGAATGTGCATGTTTAAAGTTGCATGTTTAGCTTAAAAAAAAAGTCACGGATGTCTCTTTCTTACTAAGTTGTATACATAAACAATAGTAAAAATGGCTTAGTTTGAGAAACCAAATAAAACAACAGAAAATAAGATGATCTTAATCTCTGGTTTGAAAGCCTGCAGTAAATCTCTGCTGTTGTAAATTCTCTCTCAGCAATCTCACTTATCTAACTTTTTATTCATTTTGTACAGCAAAGAGTATCCAATTCCCACAAATTTCCAGGCTTGACTTCCTCATTGCTCAAAGAATGCAGGAAGGGCAGCAGGTGCATGCATATTCAAGAAACAACACAGGGGAACAAAAAAAAGTATTTTCTTTGCCTGTTATAGGTCAACCTGACAAGGATCTTGTAAATGAATATGTAAGAGCACAGACATATGTCATGCCTTGGGTGTTCTCAAGGCACCTGCATAATATGCCTTTTTTTCTTATTTTATTGTAATCATTGGATACATGTCTTGGCATTGAGTGCATTGAGTTCCAACAGTTACTTGTATGACCCATTCCAGCAGAAGTGTAATCCAAGGAGTGATAGCTGAATGAACTAAGTTAGGCATTCACAGCCTATTTCACAAAACTCATCTGAACAATAATTAGTCAAAACAGCTAAGTGGTTATTAGGTGGCTACCACTATCCCAAACTCATTCTTTTTTAAACTTGACCCGTAAGTATTTAGTTCAACATCACTGCATGTAGCATACATTAACCCCAAAGAATGCTTACAGGGACCTGTCGTAAAGAGAGGCATGCAAGGCATACTAACATAACCTCTGTAGAGTCTCCATCCTTGGAGATTTTTAGAACAAGTCAGACAACATCCATCTGCAAAGGTTTAGGTATTGCTGATTCTGCCCTCGAGCAGGCGTGTGGACTAGAAGTCCTTTCAGCTCTGTGTTCTAGGATGAAATCTATGCTCTAGTATCTGTAAAAGCATAGAGCTGGAGAACACAGGCTACCTTCCAACACTCAGGCACTCTGCTTTCTACTGAATCCCATCCCCATCAATGGTTTGCACAGGTACTTTTAGTCTCTAAGAACTTCAGGAAAAGGATGAGGGCTGCCTTCATGTGCTGGGATCCAAGTCAGAGGTTCCTAGCTAGAGGGTCCTGCCCCTCCACTCAGAGTCAAACTGATCACCATTCTTTGGGGTCAGGCAGGAATTTGAAAGTCCCTTGGTCAGACTGGTACAGACCGTGGGGGGTGGGGGGTCCTTCCTCCATAGTGGGGGCTCAGCCCTCTACACAGGATCTCCTGAGTGCATAATGACAACATTTCACAGAAGCAGGAGGCTGACAGCAATGGTTCCCCTGCTGCACCTATGGAAGGGGGTGGGCCAGTAAATCAGCATTTCTCAGCCCGTGGGTAATGAGCCCAAAAGTGGGTTGCAAGAATATATGAAAGGGTCATGAACAAACTTAAAAAATGGATTCCTCTTTAAAGGACAAAAACATGGGAAACCCTGGCTTTTTCCTTGCAGGCAACACATCTGTCCCACACACTGGGGGGCTGGGGCAGGAGGCCAGCGAGTCAGGAGTGAGAGACGCCTGCCACAGATGTTTACAATGGATCCTCGTCCAAAAAAGGTTGAGAACCCCTGGCAGTAGATGACCTCTGGGAGGTGCCTCCCAGCCCTGCGCCATGTGTTGTGCCTTCACCGCAGTGGCATGCTGTCAGTGGCTGTGGCATGTGCTTCCTGCCATGAACCAAGCCCCTTGTCACAGGGTGCTTCTGCCCAGAGGGCAATAGGAGAGCCGTGCCTCAGAGGGGCCAGCAGTCTCCGGCCCAGGGGCAGGAGGGGAGAGTAGAGCGGGGCAGACTGGATGCCCCTGGGGCCCCTTCCCTCCCGGGGGCAGGGGAGCGCAGGCGCCTACCTGGTCCAGCGGGATGCCCAGCAGCCGGCTGAGCGGGTGCAGCAGGGTGGAGCCGGTGGTCCTGTAAGGAAGGCTGGGGGCCTCCGCCATCCTGCATCCCCGCCCGGCTGCGGCTCGCGCTCCCTCCC